CAAGATTGCGAATATCAAGCGTGTTCAGCCGACTAAGTAGCGAGTGGCAATGTGGTGCGAGATGTATGACCGCAAGGTGACGGATAGTTGTTTGACTAGGAACGGGTGGCGCCATACACGAAATTCCAGCAGGCAACGAAAGGCTCTGTATCCAGCGGTCATAGCTGTGGTAGATGAGCGTTAGCAAGAGTTACCTGGAGGCTATGTATCAGGGTAAACGTACTCCAAGGTTTGAAGTCTAGCTCAAAGACATTCCATTTCGTTCCAAAACAGTATTCATGACGCGGTAGTTGTCGTATTCTTGTCGAAGATACAGTTTCCAGATACGAAGGTGTGGTTTGACGGGAAAGTGCTTTTTCTTGGAAATGGTGTACTAGATTCAACAACACTACTGCTGCCGCACGGTGGATGCTAGGATAACTGCGATGGGTAAGCATTAGGAACGGATGACTGAGGGATACTAAATTATCGTACCACACTCTCGGAAACACTGTCTAGAGGGTTTCGCTCCAGGCTCCGGTTCCTCTCGCGTTGATGCAGCACCGAGGCGCGACGAGAAGTTCAGTATGTAAAACTCAACAGACTTCGTCATCGAGATCCTAACTGGCTCGACAATAAGCAAAGAAACACCGTGAGGAATGTTCAGCACATTCTGCAGGTAAAGCTTCGCGTCCTTCGTTGGATTTGCGCAACATAGCGTACGCTTCTGCGCTGGTATCATGGTATGTACTAAAAAAGCTGCACCATTCAGAAGGGGTACTACAAATTTCTGTGTACGACGTACTTTGTGTGTAGCCCAACCTTCCATAGTCAGAATTCCATCTTGTTCATTGCAAAATACGCCGTATACCGCAATTTCTTGATGTACGATGTTTATGACTGGGGAGTTCTTTCTGGGTAAGAGATGTCGTATGTGGCGTGGTTCAATGATTACCTGAAAGAAGATCATATAGGGACCGCAAAGGGACCGACTCCTGCGAGCCGTTGGGTAACAAGTGGGGGCATGAAGGAAGAACAGAGAATTTTTCGTGGATCACAACAAGACCAAATTGAGTCTCGTTGAAGGGCCGTTTTAGGTAAACCAACACCTCATCAAATTCCCTCATCCTCGACTAAACACCCTCCTGACTGTCTTTACTTACGCATCCTCGGGTGGTTTACCGACCGGATTATAGATACTGATCTTTACCCAGGTGTGTTAGTCGTCCCAAAGTACTTTAGTCTGCATGACTTCGGGCCCCCAAGACCGTACCAAAAATTTCTGATCACGTTTCTAAGGATATACCATAACAAGTAATTCTCGAAATCCACGCGTTGAGCGAGGCACGTCAAAGCTGGACGTGTTTCGGTGTCTGTATGTGCTCTCAGTGCGTGAAACGGGCCTCTTGTAGTACACTAAAAGAAGTAGAACAGCGAAAAGACCTCGGAAGACTCGATAGGGGAGTTCCCAAAAAGTGCCGTAGATCGGCTGGACCGGAGTGGGTGTTAACACACGCCGTCGGGCTGAGGGTTGGTATGGTACGGGTAACATGCCGCGATTCTCCGCAGCCTACTCTATCCAACGAGGTACGAGTGATTGAGTCGGCTCACAGGTTCTTACAGGAGACTAAAAGTACTTGGACCTGACAAATTTATTTTACAGAAACAGAGTTCCGAGCCGCGTGGCTGCGTAGGCCGCGGGAACTTCTCACCGCTTGCCACAACTTGCTTACAAGCACCCCGAGACTTGAAGAAAGCTGTTCAAACTGGGTTCAGCCCTTCTATCTATGGATCTTCACAGCTATAGTGTACGGCTTTCACAAAGAGTGGATTGCCTTTCTACTCACAATTGCACCTGGCGATGCCAAGCTCTATGGCTCACGACCGTAATGTGATCATCATCTACTCGTTCTATCCTTGAAGTTGGATGATTACCCTGATAATGATGTCAGGGTTTCAACCCTACACAGTTCGGGCGCCCATGGCACAGCAGCTTCCAATACCCTATAAATAGTGAAGACTATTACATTCAATTATCTGTTTCGTCGGTTTCGCCCAAGTTTACGCCACAAGTCCCGTTCAAGCGCCGCTCTACACACTTTGTATCTCTTCGAGTTGTCAAATTGTACTTGGGGAGCACCATGAATCAATCCATCGCGGGAGGACTATTAGTTTTTGGTGCCTCTCTTCTAGCCTGCTACCGATTATGGTTACACCCACTACAAAAGTTCCCTGGCCCTGTATTGGCTGCGATAACCGGGTGGTATCGCGTTTACTATACTGCCATTGACGGAGAAGGCTGGGTAGCGCATCTCGAGAAGCTGCATCAGCTTTACGGTGCGTTCGTTGAATTGCCTACCTTTCGCACGATTATGAAACTTTCAACGAAACTAGGCCCAGTGATCCGAGTAACACCAACGGAGGTAATCGGTTCACTGGAAAGCTTTTACCGCATGCGTCATGCACTCACTGAAATTCTAGCTTCATTTCAACAATCCTGATGCTTTCGACGACATCCATGTAACTCCAAAGCCTTCGTACATTAAAGATCCCGAGTTTTACGGCTCCTTTGCGACTCCTGATTCCTTGGTTTCCCAAGCTGATCCCCGAAAAGCTTCAAAACGACGTCACCTACTTGGCTCATACTTTTCCAGACGATCTGTTCTGCAGTTGGAACATCTCGTGCAACTCACAGTGAGTGTGTATCTCTTATATCTTTGCAGTGCGCGCCAACATCTCGTCAGGTAGATACTCTGATCGAGCGACTATCCACATATGCTAAAACCCGCAAACCTGCCGACCTCTTCCTTGCATACCGTGCAATGACACTCGACATCATCACATCCTATCTCTTCGCACAGCGATTCAACGCCCTCGATTATCCCGAGTTCCGACACCCACTTCTGGTAGGCCTAGACGATTCGTTAAGGGCACTTTGGCTCGGTAGATATCTGCCCATCCAACTAGATAAATGGCTCCCAGAATCCTTCTTGCGAAAGGCAGCACCTAAGATGATTCCCATGCTAGATCAAGCCGGATACATTGCCGGCAAACTGGACGAAATATCGACGAATCCGCCCTCGCTACAAGACGTGGGCCATAAAGCCATCTTCAGCGTCCTATTCGATACCTCGAAGTCGGATACTGGAGGGGATCCTTGGGTCTTCCCAAGGGCTCAAGTAATAGACGAATGTGTCACCCTACAGTTTGCCGGGAGCGACACAGTGGCAAATACCTGTATGGTTGGAACATATGAGCTTTTGAAGAACAAGGAGGCATTGAATCAGCTAAGAAAAGAATTGGATCGAGCGTGGCCAGACCCTCATACACCTATGAATTGGGAAGCACTCGAGAAGCTTCCGTATTTGGTGAGTCGCTGTCTTTGAATATGCTAGTACCTTGGTTCTGACTTACATTTCATACGCAAGGGCGCCGTCATCAAAGAATCACTGCGTTTGTCCTACGGCGTTGCAAGTCCTCTTCCAAGACAGGTGGGGTCTTCTGACACAGTAATCGCAGGTGTACCTGTTCCGGCTAAAGTAAGTTCATTTCACTGGTCGTCTAACTGCCTCAGACTCGACGGAATCCTATCTCTGCAGACTATTGTCTCATGTGGGACCTATTTCGTCCAAAACGACCCGGATATATTCCCAGACCCGAAGAAGTTTAAACCTGAACGATGGCTCAACGAAGAATCTCGTGCTCTTGAGAAATACCTAGTTGCGTTCTCTAAGGGACCCAGAATCTGCCTTGGGATCAAGTCCGTCATTTCTATTGTGTTCGAGGCATATGTAACGCTGAACAACCCCGTCGTATAGTCTAGCTTGGTGTGAACTATATCTAATCTTCGCCAACGTATTCAGGAAGCTGGATTTTGAGCTCTGGAACACGGCGTGAGTACTCTAGTTTTCTTTGTTCGATACGTGTCACTGACTTGTCATATTAGAGAGGACGATCTAAAGTTCTTAGACTTCTTCCTGCCGTTGTATACCGGGAATCATTTGCATGCGCATGTCAAGGTCAGAAACCCTTAGATCAATGGCGCTTGCTCGGCGTCTCCTCGGCGTCAAAGACTCCTTTTCCAGAAAACAGAAGAATGGACTTTGCATTGATTGCTTGACAAGCAAACTCTGTATTTATTTCCTTGCACGTATTATACTATAGTTAAGGAGCAGATGGCATTCGCTCGCGTCGACGTGAACTGATTCATCAGAGAGGCTGGAGGCTGGAACTCCGCCTGCATTGTTGTTCGGCGATGTGTACCGTCAAGAATTTTTGATAGCGCATGGCTCGGGTATGCGTACAATGAAATATGATTCAAAACGAGTCCTCGCAAAGGTACAGGTACGCAATACACCATCACTCGTCTTGAGTTCTTCGAAACGTGGTTCGTAATCATTCAGGGGAAAAATCAAAATGTTGAGTGACTTTTTGCGTCGACGTTCTCCGATTCGTACCCAAATTTGAAAGGCTGCTCTCCTTTGGACCACCCTTACCGAAGCGCCCATTCTGCTACATACTCTTAGATGCAAGGTCGATACAGGTTTTGGAACAATTTTGGAACAATTCGAGATTGGGAGATGAATGCTCTTTATACCAGTCTGTCGGGTTTCCTCGCCCTACAACTTCCTTCTGTTCCGTTTCTCTCGCTCTCTTTGTCACAAGAACGACTGTAAAATTGTGCACACAAATATTTTGGCATTATGGCTCCTAGGACGATTAGGAAGATAAAGTTGAATCTTGCTTTTTCTTCTGTTTGGACATCGTTGCCATGACACCTTATACTTCAACATCTTCGTCTCCGAGCCTATGTAGGCAGGGATTGGTCCGAACTGTCTTATCTACCTTCTTCTACCATAATTATACATCTCCAGTCGTAATGAAACATTCAGTTCACTTTGATATACGTGAATTATTTGACTCAGAGGGCGCCGATACTCCATCTAGTATAAAGGGAATAAGGGAAGGGTCACATTGCTAATACTACTCTTCTGCGTGGTTGGGAACAAAACAGTGCCGTTTGGCCAACGTGGGGATCGAACCCAAGACCTTCGCGTAATAATCTAGGTAGATATTAGCACGACGCTCTAACCAACTGAGCTAGTCGGCCGGTTGATGATTCGATTGCGGCGTTGATCCTTGATCGCAAATCAATGAAATTGAAAGCAAAGGCGTCAAAACGCCACAGTACTTGACAGAACCACAAGAAATACAATCATACCTGTCTTTAGAGATACATATAATGCCTGAGAGGTAGTTAAATACATGGAAAGTCCAAGAAAGTCCGCGCCAGCGACGAATAGATACGTTGTCGATGCATGATGATATGCGAGGAGTCCAGTGAAAAAAATGTCAAGACATGCCATCAAGAAAGTGAATCCCAGAATTTCAAACACCGTCATCGCCTTATACTCTTCTTACCTTTATCAAATCCCCTTCTAACGAAACCCTTTCCTTACCAACATCCTTGAACCCTGACACAACTTTAACAACCTCATTCGTATCAAAATCTTCCCACTTCCCTTCCGGCATCGCCGCATTAAGATAGGCAAGCAACATGCTCACACTGAGTTCATCCTCAGAAGGTGAGAACGTGGTCGAGAAAAGGTGGAGGATCGAATGATGGATGAAACGATTGCGACTTGTGGAGTTATCGAGGGCAAACCGGGTACTCTTTGTGCCCTTCTCCCGATCACGATCCCGTTCCTCTCCACCCCCACGGTGAAGTACGGCTACAGGTGGCATACGAACGTCGCCATCGTGGCCTTTATAGTTCCCGACTTCGGGATCTGCTTCGGGATCTGCTGAACCTTCTGCATCAGATTCGTCGGGGCCGGAATGGAGCTGGTCTTCCTCATCCTCATCATCAGGATGAGGTGCAGGTGCACGACGTTGACTGCGATAGGAACCGCTTCTACTTGGTGGTGGATGCGAGTACGGAGCCATACGCGACGAGTGTAAAGGCGGCGGATAAGGAGCGGATCGTCGTTGATAGGGGTATCGAGAAGAAGCTAAGCGCAACTCCTCCTCGTGAAGTGATCTCATGATCATATCATCCTCCTCCTCAGAATCGATGAGTTCGCGTTCATCGTACCTCGAATACCTGTGGTGAGGTGGTGGCGGTGGAGGATATGGGTGACTCGGAGGATAGCGAGACGAAGATGCATGTGGGTGATGCGGGTATGGCAGATTGTGCTGTGGTGGCGGGTATGGCTGGTGAGCGTAAGGGTCGCGATGATGAGCAATAACGGCGGATGCCGATGAGCTAGCCCGTCGAGCCTTCATGTCAGCGATATCGGTTGTTTTCTGAGCACGTCGGTGACTGAAGGTAAAACGATAATCAGTCCACGATTCACCAGAAAGTCGAGTGCTGTACTCACTGTCTGCCAATACATTTGCTACGGTGCTGGTGCCACGGATAGGCGCAGAAAGAGCTATCCTGCCTCAGTTGTACCCACTTTTGGCAGAGAGAGCAGAATACCCTATTGGCCTCCACCTGTACATTCTGGACGTCAGGGACATGCAGATAACGACAAGAATAACAGGTAACATACCTTTTCGATCAAAGGATCTGCCCTAAGGGTCGCAGCCCGTTGCTCAGCGTTACGTCTACGAGAATCTTGAATACTTTGGCTCTGGCTGATGGACGGGTTCGTATTGACAGGAACCATGCGAGGGGAATCTCGAACCGCAATTGGACTACCAACAGGTGCCTTGGAAGTGTATTCCGGCCCACTATCGCTAGTTGGTGAAATGAGAGGTGAACGAGAGGTCGAAGGTGGCGGGATGGGTGATACGGATGGAGAGCGATGTAAACTCGCGAATTTATCATTACGGGGGCCCTCTCTAGACGGCGCAGAAGATTGAGAAGGAACCGAGAAGGAGTCACTGCGAGAGCGAGGCACAGAATCTACATTCCTCACAGTGGAGATCGCAGGATGACTTTGAGAAGGTGAGTGGTGAGCCCTTAAAGGCTGAGGGGGTGGCGAGCGTTGGCCATGGCCGTTGGAGTGTGGCGGAAACTCCGGAGAACTATAATGAATCATATTAACGGCAACATTCCATTAAGAATGGATGAAGACTTACTGCATCACATACGGCATATCACTCGACATGGCCCTGCCAGCACTAACACGCTTCTCGCACGATTCCTTGTGGGCATGCCACTTTCGCAGTCCCTGAAGGTGATCCTCAGGGTTGATAGCAATCCATTGATCGCACGCAGCACAGAGGACCCGTTCCGCATCGAACTTTCTGACATCTGGGTCCTTGGAGAACAACGAGTTGCGTTCTTCCAGTGCATAAGTATTTTTCGAGGATCTGTCAGGGAAATCAGCGAGTACACTCTTCAAAATAGCGCAGCATAACTCACATCTTCTTCGCTAAGCAGCTCTTGCGATGAGCATCCCAGGGAATAGAACAATAAGTCGAATTCGGCCGCAAGCGAATCCATTTGTCGCAACTTTTGCAAAGAACCTTGTAAGCTTCGAACTCGGCGACATAGGGATCGGATTTGAGGTAGGCTATGCGTTCCTCTTCCGTTCGTTTAGCGCGGCGACGTTTTGGGGGCGGACCTTGACCTTGAGAGATGGAAAGCGATGTCGGGGTGTAGAGTATGGGGTCCTGAGATGACTGGGGAGCGTGACGGTGAGGTGGAGTAGGTGAACGCGCTGATCTGGGACGTCTTGAGGTTTCGGAAACAGAGTGTAAATTGGAATAGCTAGAGCCATTTCGTTAGCAAGATGAGATAGACAAAAACACTAGCAGGTGATAGCTGATAAAAAGAAACCCAGGCTAGAACATGTACGAGAGCTTAGGCGTATTCCGAGAAGCGACGCCACCTTTCGATTACCGAGAAAGGTACAGAACAAAGGAGACTCACCATTCCTTCTTATGTGTATTCCAGACGTCGACGCACAGCTGACCAGTCTTTGGATCGCGGAAAGGGATCATCTGGTGGCACATTTCGCACTTGATGTGTCCACTTTGATATTCCGAGGCCTTCGTTTCTGGCGCCCTATGTTCTAGTTCCATATCGAAATCGGCGTCACCTTCGGCGTCTTCATCTCCCTCGCCATCAACGTCGTCGTCAGTTAGAAGTGGTGGAGTTTTGCGTTTCCGCGGGTTTCTGTAAAAGCGAGGTCAGTATATGATGCTGTAACATATGTCAAAGCGAAAAAGCAACGACGCTCAAACACCCGCGACGGGGTCGAGTAAACAACCTAGAAGACATGATACAGAACAAGACTCACACGTTGTCATCCGGGTGCACCGCAGACGCTGCCGGTGTTGGTGATTTATGTGTCGCCGCCGAGGTTTCTTTAGTATCCGAACCCGACCTAGATTCATAGAAAACATATCAGTCAACAAGACATACCAAGAATATGAAGAAAGAACGTACTGAGAGTGAGGTGCCTTGTCGAGTACCTCTATCTCAGGACTAGAGGTTGAAGAATCCATGAGAGCCGGGACGAGATGATGGAGGATCGAGGTCAAGAAAGAAAGTGGGAGTGACAGGAAAGGGAGTGGCGTAAAAATCAGAGGACATATATATGAACAGACGGAACAGGTCACTTACACCACCGACCGAAGGTAAACTCATTACTCCAATAACAAACCTCGAGGCGCCCCATTCCATATTCGGTTCCCCCTCTGCCATTTCCAGATGATTTCGATCAAGATTCTACCTTACCATAATTAATTCGAGAAAAAACTTTTTTGGGGGGGAGAGAACGAGAAAAATAATTCGGGATCATCGGGCGGAGGTCGCGGTCGTTGCTGAGGTGGCAAAGCACACTGTCACATCAGTGTCACACAACATTTGGGATCTGGATCGATTTCCCACGCACTCCCTTCGTTCCTTGCGCCAACATCACGCTCTAACCTTAGAATCAAGATATGGAATTCTCCTGTCGGATGTCTTTCTTACCGACCCAGGACCGAGCTAGTGGAAGCAAGCTGCAACATTGCAGCACAAGAGGTACTGAAACTCTTGCGCAAGTTCGCAATTTCCGCTGATCCTCTCTTGCCGAAGTGATGTTTCTTGGTCCCCATCAAATAAACTACAATTCGTCTTTTATTCACCGGGTTCAAGGGTGAAAAGTAACCTTTTTTATTGGTTCGCTAGCTTTCTTGATTGCCGCTACTTGGATTCGCCACTGGTCTGTAGGCTCTGGATTTCGACCGCCACTCTTGAGGTTATGGGATATGTTACCTCGCCTACTCCTAAGTCTTGCGCTCTAATGCCGAGCTAAAAACAGCCTCTTTTGGGGCATGCATGTCAGCCTCGGTATGGGCATGTTGGGGTGAGTAAGACCGCTTTTCAAATAAACATATTCATTGAGCCAAATGACGAACTAGGCTTCGTCCCAATTCCAGCTGGATCCGGCCAGAACTCGAAACTAATGTTTTCAGTTTCATCTCCGTCCTCAATCTGTCATGAGGCCGGGAGTGCTCATGTCGCACATGTCACGCTCCCGAGGTCGCCGTATGTTTTTCATGTTTTCCATTCGATATGTCATGGTCATTAACGACCTAAAGGCCCTGGGTATGTTGCCGTTAGCCTCATGCATCACAAAGCGTCTCCTATACTTCAGTTTCCATATGTCGCAACATATTCAGTTTGTTTTTCAGTCATTGTAGTTTCCTCTTTCGTTCATTGTTTTTCTCACTCATTGTACTTCTTATGTACAGGCTGTGTCATATCCTGCGATGAGTACGGGTTGCTTAGCATGTCGTCCCACGACATACACAGATGACCTTCCGTGTGGCGGGCGGTGCCCATCATTTTTCTGTCCCAAACAGAAGCGGCGACAGAGAACCTATTTCCATTCCGATTCCTCGACATCAGTACATCAACGACACTTCCCTCTTTACTGTGGCTATTAAGTCATAGAACGAAACATGCCTGTTCCTCATAATGCTCCTACTTGCCTCATCCGCTCTTCCTCAAAGCTCCGCTTTTCCACTATTGTATACTCCGGATCTAGTTCGTTTTTCATCGCCCGCCACTCATGCGCAAAAGCCCTAACTCAAGCTCAGCACTAGACTAATAACCGTTTGTTGCGATGACCACGGGTATCTATAGGTAACATCAGGTGCCATTGCGCT